AATGGGGGCAGGGAGAGGCTGACAATGGGAAGCGGGGGGTGCAGCCAGAGGATGGCAATGGGGGACAGGGAGAGGCTGGCAATGGGGGGTGGGGGATGCAGGGAGAGGATGGCAATGGGGCGGGTGGGGTGCAGGGAGAGGTTGGCAATGGAGGGCGGGGAGAAGATGGCAATGGGGGTAAGGGGGCAGGGAGTGGCTGGCAATGGGAGGGTAAGGGGGGCAGGGAGAAGATGGCAATGGGTGCGGGGGGGCAGGGAGAGGCTGGCAATGGGGGGCAAGAGGGGCAGGGAGAGGGTGGCAATGGGGAGGCGGGGGGGCAGGGAGAACATGGCAATGGGTGGGTAAGGGGGCAGGGAGAAGATGGCAATGGGAGGGTAAGGGGGGCAGGGAGAGGCTGACAATGGGGTGTAAGGGGGGCAGGGAGAGGCTGGCAATGGGGGGCAGGGGGATGCAGGGAGAGACTGGCAATGGAGGGCGGGGGGTGCAGGGAGAGGCTGGCAATGGGGGGCAGGGAGAAGATGGCAATCTGGGGTGGGGGTTCAGGGGGCTGTGGGTCACGCCCCTTCCCCCGCGCCCCACCCTGGCCCGAGATCTGGGCTCGGCCCCGCTGCCCGGGATGCTCCGTCTCCCGGCGATCCCGGGGCAGGCGCTGGCTGCAGCCCGGCCGGATGCACAGGAAGGGGGTGCTGGGTGCAGGCTAGGCTGGGGCAGTGGTGGGGGTGCAGGAGGGGTGAGGGGTGCAGGTTCTGGGAGGGAGTTTGGATACAGGAGGGGTGCAGCGTGGAGGCTCTGGGGGGGAGTTTGGGTGCAGGGGGTGCAGGGGCAGGCGTGCAGGCTCTGGGAGGAAATGGGGGTGTGGGAGGGGGTGTGGGGTGCAAGCTCTGGGATGGAGTGTGGGTGCTGGATGGATGTGGGCTCTGGGATGGAGTGTGGGCTGGGGCAGGGGTGGGGGTGCGAGAGGGGGGAGGGAGTTTGGGTGCAGGGGGAGGGGTGCAGGAGTGGGGAGGGAGTTTGGGTGCGGGATGGGGAGGGGCACAGGCTCTGGGAGGGTGTTTGGGTGAGGGGGTGGGCATGCAGGCTCTGGGAGGAAATGGGAGTGCTGGGTGCAGGCTCGGCTGGGGCAGTGGTGGGGGTGCAGGAGGGGATGAGGGGTGCAGGCTCTGGGGGGAGTTTGAGTGCAGGAGGTGAGGGGCTGGGCGTGCAGGCTCTGGGAGGAAATGGAGGTGTGGGAGAGGGTGTGGGGTGCCAGCTCTGGGATGGAGTGAGGGTGCTGGATGCAGGCTCTGGGCTGGGGCGGGGTGGGGTGCAGGAGGGGTGAGAGGGTGCAGGCCCTGGGAGGGAGTTTGGGTTGGTGGGGAGGGAGTTTGGGGGCCGGAAGGGGTGTGGGGGGAGGCGGTGGGGTGCAGGCTCTTGGAGCGGGTGGAGGATGCAGCATTTACCTGGGGTACCCCCCCTTGGGCAGCAGCTCCTAGACAGCGTAGGCCAGGGGGTCTCCGCACGCTGCTGCCCCCCTCCCCCAGGGGCCGCAGCGCAGGGACAGGCCTTTTTAAATCATCTGGGGGAGGCAGGTGGGACCGGGGGCCTCACGGCGGGGGGGCGTGTGTGGGGGCGGCAGGTGGGGGGAGGGGAAGGAGGGTGCGGGGGTGGCAGGAGGGACTGGGGGACGTGGGGGCAGCAGGCGGGGTTGCAGGAGAGACCCGGCCCCGAACATTTCTGGACCCGCGTCCCAGGGCAGGAATATTTCTGGTGCCCAGGCACCACGAGCCCCTACAACTCGCTGCCTGTGCCTCCTCATTTCCCCCCCCCCCCACCTCGCCCGGTCCCTCCTCGCCACCCCCTCCCTTCCAGTCAGCTCCCTGCCTCTCCGCTCACCCCTCTGTCCTATGAAGGGGGGGGCAGAGGAGAGACCCTGGGGAGGAGCAGGAGCGGGCGAGCGGGGGGCGGAGTGTGGGCGGAGTCTCGGGCTGCAGAGATGGGGCAGGGAGCTAGTCCCCCCAACCCAGGGAAGCTTCACCCCATGCCTGCACTTTTCCTGTCTGTAGAAATTCCCTCCAGTTCATCCCCTTTTCTGTCCAGCGTGGCAGAATCTCAGGGTCTGTCTGCAGGGAAAGAACCTGGGGAATTGTGATGTGAACATACCTAAAGCCTGTTCTCCCATCTCCACAACTGCCCTTCTCGCCCTGCCAGGCTGCAGAACGATGCCCATGCTTCACTCCAGCCCTTGGCACAGGGCAGAGAAATGGCTGCAGCGGAGCCAGTTCAGGTAGGGGTTATTGGGGGGTGGCTGGTGGGTTGCTGCAGGAGGGAGGGGGCAGCAATACACAGGGGGTGGGAAGGTTTGGGTCTGGTTTGGAGGTGGGAGCGGGGCAGGAAATTCCCAGGGTGGAGAAAGGGAGGAGGCCAGGGGGTGGCAAACCTGCTGGGACTTGTTTAGTAAGTGCCCTGGATTCTAGGATCAGAGCCATGAGGTTCGGAGGGGAAATGCCCTAATTTGTGGGAGAGGAAACAACCCACCCAGGTGAGGTTAGGAAACACTGACCAGGCTCCCAGTGCTGGAGCCTGACCCGACTGACCAACAGCAGCTGCGAAATATGAAAGGGGCAGCTTAGGGGCCCTGCCCCTCCCTTCATATCCAGCTCCTCGCAATGAGGAGGGTGTTCGTATCTACCAGGGAATGGTCCCTGGACCCTGCCAGGGCTCCACCTCCTGTATCAGCCCCTGGCTAGTAGGTGTGTGATGGATCTGCTGGGAGAGATCAGGAGCTCTCTCTTCGTCCCCTCACCTGGGTGTTTCCTGGATGCTCTGGTACTAGATAGATTCATGGAGGGCAGGTCCATTGATGGCTATGAGCAGGGATGGTGTCCCTGGTCTCTGTTTGCCAGAAACTGGGAATAGGCGACGGGTGAATCACTTGATGATTCCCTGTTCTGTTCATTCCCTCTGAGGCGTCTGGCACTGGCCACTGTCGGCAGACAGGATACTAGGCTAGATGGACCTTTGGTCTGACTCAGGCTGGCCGTTCTTATGAGTGGTTTGGGGGTTGGCCTCTGACTGCAAGCCCCTCAGAGCTTCCATTTGATTGGCTCCTTTCCCTCATGAATAGTGGAGTTGTGGCTGGGGTAGCAGGCACTGAGTGGGGGGCACCTGTTGTTTCAGGGGCCGGTGAGCCTCGAGGAGGTGGCTGTGTATTTCACCGCGGGGCAGGGGGCTCTGCTGGACCCCGCTCAGAGAGCCCTCTACAGAGACGTCATGCAGGAGAACTATGAGAACGTGACCTCGCTGGGTAAGGGTTCCTGTCCCCTCAGTTCTTAGGAGGGGAAATGCAGAGCTAAGGCTTATGGCATCCCCACAATGCAACCTCTACTCTGCCCTGTTTTAGCAACACCCCAACAAGCCAGTGACACACACCCTAGTGTTCTGCCCGCCCCTGCTACAGGACGCTCTGGGAACAGGGCACAGGGGCAGCACAGCACGAAGTCTGACATCTTCTCTTTGCTAGGGCAAAACTTGGATTTTAGGTCCAATGTGACAAACAGAAACTTCTGACCCCTGGCTGGCACTCACACACTGATCCCACGCCACACAAACCATCTCGGACCTGCAAAGTGAGATCACCCCTTTCCACTCGCCCCGAGGATTCCTCCTGAGTCACGGACTTCGCTTAGCACTCACTGAGCACTGAGGATCACTAGCACATATGTCACCAAGATGCTGACAATCTCGTTGACAAGACCTCACCCCTGTGCACCTTCAGAGACCCAGCCTCCAGCCCTCAGCACAGGCATGAGGCAGACTAGGCCCCCAAGTTTTACATGCAGCTCTCTTCATATCACAGTCACATCTCTGCCAAGCTGCTCCCAGTCGTCCACAGCTGACACACATGCAGAAAAATGCTGGTATTCCGATTCGTGGAACACAACACAAACGGTGGCATGTTCTTCTTAGTCGTTCTTCATAGCTGTATGTCTACCCTAGAGCTTTTCCCAGCATAGCTATGTTGGTCAGCGGGGTGATTTTTCACACCCCCGTCAGACAGAGCTAGGCTAGCAAAAAGTTTAAGTGCAGACTGGGCAAGAAAGTGGGTTTTTTTAGTTCAGAGAACTTTAAACTATTAATCTTAACACAAACATTTTGGTATAAAAGGGCAAAGCTTCCAAGAGGAACTTCTGACAAATGCAAGAAAAATGCACAACACACGTAGTGTGAAAGCTATCAGAGCTCGGGCTCAGGCTCCAGTTCATGGGTGTCGTTCAGGTTCAGTGGCCACAGCCCATCCCCTTGAGCAAAGCTTTCCCTGGCCCAGCCGATTGCTGGCAACCCTCGCACAGTTCATAGGGACGTAGTCTGGCAGCACGTGTGCATTTCCAGGTCAGCGACTGCTCAGTTTGGCTTGTGCTGCTCTGAGATTCCAGATTCAGCAGCTATTGGCTTTCAGAGTTGGTTTCCTGCAGAAGACAGGGGTGTCCTGTATTAACAGATCAACGCCAAGTGACTGTGATCAGTCCAGGGACAATTAGAACCACAGTTTCAGCCCCAGCTGTGTGCAAAAAAACATTTCAAGACCAAGATGATTTTGTCAAAAGCTGCCTAGGGTGGTGGGCTGAATCTCAGGAACATCTTTAACCAGTCACCCCATACTGGAACCAGTAACCTGTCCATGAATGACCATAGAAACCAGCACATTTCAAGACCATCTGAATGCACCTGTGGAATTTAGGGTAGTTAGAATAGTTGGTTTTTATGCAGAAAATGATGCTTCTGTGGACTAGCTATTGCCTCTGGGGGAGGTGGATGACCTACACCGACAGCAGAACCTTCCCGTTGCTCAGTATCTACACTGAACCACTACAGCAGTCCAGTCATGGTGTCTCAAGTGTAGACAAGCCCTGAGATACGACATTCGGTGACACCCCCCCCCGTCCCTCCTATTCCTCACTGCGCTGAATCCCACCAGCCCGTGCTCAACGGTCCAGGCTCTCCTACAACTCCCCCATTCTCTCGGGGTTTCTCTCTGGGATGAAGAAGCAGGTCCAGGGTAACTTTCCCTCTGTCTGGGGCCTTAACTTCCTGGAACGTGGAGTTCCTGTCTCTGTGTTTTAGGAGCCCCTTTGCTGAGCAGTGTCTGGCTGTGTGTGTTCCCAGCAGAGATGGGGAGAGTTAAATCTCTCATACGCAGAGTCTCCTGCACCTGGGGAGCTGCCCCCAGCCTTTCCCTGCTGTAAAATGGGCTGGGGTTAAAGTAATAGAAACGTCCCATGATTTCCCTGATCTCCCTTGTTTTCTTTCCCCTGAGCAGGGTGTCCAGTTTCCAGACCTGATGTGATCTCCCAGCTGGAATGAGGGGAGGAGCCGTGGGTCCCGGATCTCCAGGGCTCTGAGGAAGGAGAGATCCCCAGAGGTCCCTGCGCAGGTGAGGGATCATTAAACCAACTCAAAGCTCTCAGTGACCGAAGGAAACAGCTGGGAGTCCCGAAAAGCCTTGTGAGCTCTCAGGGTTCAGGAGTATCTCCAGGAGGCCGTGTATCCTCAGGGCAGCTGTCGCTCATGGCTTCTTGCGCATCCTGACTGACACCTGGCAGAGCTCCCTCCCTGAGGGGATGTGGAGGCAGAATTGTTCCCCCCCTCTCTCCCCTATGGGGAAGAGTTGTGGAGAATCCAGCTACTAGGTTTCTTTTCTGTCTCTCCAGCTCTAATTTTGGTTGGTTTTCCCTTTTCATAGATCATAGAATCATAGAATATCAGGGTTGGAAGGGACCTCATGAGGTCATCTAGTCCAACCCCCTGCTCAAAGCAGGACCAATTCCCAACTAAATCATCCCAGCCAGGGCATTGTCAAGCCGGGCCTTAAAAACCTCCAAGGAAGGAGACTCCACCACCTCCCTAGGTAACCCATTCCAGTGTTTCACCACCCTCCTAGTGTTTCCTAATATCCAACCTGGACCTCCCACACTGCAACTTGAGACCATTGCTCCTTGTTCTGTCATCTGCCACCACTGAGAATAGCCGAGCTCCATCCTCTTTGGAACCCCCCTTCAGGTAGTTGAAGGCTGCTATCAAATCCCCTCTCATTCTTCTCTTCTGGAGACTAAACAATCCCACTTCCCTCAGCCTCTCCTCATAAGTCATGTGCTCCAGACCCCTAATCATTTTTGTTGCCCTCCGTTGGACTCCTTCCAATTTTTCCACATCCTTCTTTTAGTGTGGGGTCCAGATGAGGCCTCACCAATGTCGAATAAAGGGGAACGATCACGTTCCTCGATCTGCTGGCAATGCCCCTACTTATACAGCCCAAAATGCCATTAGCCTTCTTGGCAACAAGAGCACACTGTTGACTCATATCCAGCTTCTCGTCCACTGTGACCCCTAGGTCTTTTTCTGCAGAACTGCTACGTACCCATTCGGTCCCTAGTCTGTAGCAGTGCACGGGATTCTTCCATCCTAAGTGCAGGACTCTGCATTTGTTCTTCTTGAACCTCATCAGGTTTTTTTTGGCCCAATCCTCTAATTTGTCTAGGTTCCTCTGTATCCGATCCCTACCCTCTAGTGTATCTACCACGCCTCCTAGTTTAGTGTCATCTGCAAACTTGCTGAGAGTGCAGTCCACACCATCCTCCAGATCATTAATAAAGATATTAAACAAAACCGGCCCCGGGACCGACCCTTGGGGCACTCCGCTTGAAACCGGCTGCCAACTTTTCCATCCCTGTGTCTGCGGTTTCTCTCTCTGTCCCAGCAGGTGCTGGGATGGTGAGTGAGGAGAAGAAGCGGAATCCTCAGCAGGAAGATTCTGAGCAAGTGGCACCACATGGGGGATTATCGCACGGCTCCAGAGGGAATGTGTCCCGGCATCGTGTGCAGGGCAAAGCCTGTGAGAGTCAGCACAGGCCAGAGAGGGAGCAGAGAAACAAGCCAGCAGAGAAAGTGGGTAACTCCATTAATAGTCAGGGAACTCACCAGGACCTCCTGGAAACCACAGCCCAGCCGAGAATACCCACAGGAGAGAGAAAAAAACACATGCACTGAGTGTGGAAAACATTTCACTGACCCTATCAGTGCTGTGAGTGCGGGAAAGGCTTCAGTGTGAGCTCAGACCTCATTGTACATCAGAGAATTCACAGCTGTCTCTCCCTGCAGCAGCACCTAGGCTTGGGGGGGAGGCGACCCCCTGCCCCCCGTATAAGCTGCAGGGCCTGGCCCACAGGATAGGCGCCTCTCCCCGGCAAGGCCAGGGCTGGGTTCAGCCCTGGGCAAGGGCAGCTCAGGCTCAGCTGGGTTGGCGCAGGTTGGAGGCCGGGATAGACTGGGGCTCAGGGAAGGGTGCCCCTCCCCTGGCCATGGCAGGCCCCTGGGTGGGTTGTCTGAGGGCCCAGGGGAAGCTAAGGAGGCTGCTGGCTGGCTGCGTGGCTGTTCACCTTACAGAGAACTCAGGCTATTTGTCCTGTACTGTAAGTGTAAGTGCTGTTATTTGGAGGAAGAAAAATCTGTTGCTGTTTTTTCACATATACTTGAAGTTGAAAACTTGGTTTACAATCACGGCCTTAATCACGGAGACGCTCCCGACACCCACACACTCCTCCTTGCGTCTGCTTTGTACAGTTAGACTTGAAGCTCCTTCCCCTAGGAGCTGCCTCTCACAATGTGTGTGTCTAATACGACACCAAGCGCAATAGAGCCTCAGTCTTGGGTGCAGCCTCTCAGGGCCGTCCTTACCCATAGGCAAAGTGAGCAGCTGTGTGGGGCACCAGCCCCTGCTCCGCCCCCACTCCCCTGAGGACTCCAGAAGCAGTTGGGCCTGCCCTCACCCATAAGTAGAGCGACCCGGCCCCAGCCTCCTCCGCTCCCCGACTCCCAGCTGCACCTCCAGCAAGTGCTGGGGGGCGGTTCTCCCTGTCCCCCAAGCTTGGGAGCCAGGGGAGCAGAGCAGGCTGGGACCAGGTCACTCCACTTCCCACAGAACATGGTCAGCCCCCATTCCCCATGGAGACTTGGGCTGGGGCCCCACACAGCCCCCATGTAGGGCACCAAAATAGCTAGGGGCGGCCCTACAATCTCTGGCTGCTACTGTGTTAACAAGAATCCTGCTAGCAACAGGAATAATGACTGTTCAATCAGAGCAGACACTCTGCGAGCAGGAAACCCAAAGCGCTCAGGCTAAAAGGATAAAGTGTGGGGTGAGTGGGGCAGAGAGAGCCTCTCTCGTCCCCACACAGGACAGTGAGGTAGATGTAGGTGGGGAGAGGTGATGAGCCGGGCTTTAGGGCTCCTTATCTCTCTGTGGCCTCTGCCATCCCTGGCTTGCTTGCCTGTGCCCAACCTTGTCATCACAGCAGTCAGGAGACGCTGCCCCTCCCCCCATCATTCTTATTGGGGGTCATTCCTGCCCCTTTAGAGCTCAGGGAGTGTTCACATGACACTCATAGGCCAGGTCTCGTCTCTCTGGCTCTGATGCAGGGAGCTCACAGTGCTCAGCCTCAGCTCTCTGGCTCTGAAGAGCAAACCCAGCCGTCTCCCAGCTCTTCCCCCACTCCTGACCGTATCTCACAGCCCTGCAGGCATCAGGCAGCAACTTCATTCCCTGTCTCAGTCGCTGCCTCTCGGAGTGAGAATCTAGCTCGCACGCTCAGTGTTTCTGCTGAGAGAGATCGATAATTGCCATTGTTCAAACAATCTCATGACACAGGGTTAGACAAAGGTTGAAGTGAAATACAATTTAAAAAAGGCTCTTCAGGCAAATGATCCTTTGTCTCGTGAAGTCCTCAATAAATCTGAGCTACATCCTGTCAAACTAAGCTAATATCAAAGTATGTGACCAAACAGCCTTCACCAGGAGAGAAAACCCACAATTCAGGATGGGCAATAAAACACTTGCACATTCAAAAATTGAAATCTCAGAAAATCTTTTAAGACTCAAAATCAGGGAAATAAAGTTACCCATTTTCTTATGAAGTAGCTAAACCTGCTTCACTATTCATCTCATTATTTGGCTGTATTAGTTACAAAAGTTTTAGCATCATTATACTAAAAAAAAGAGAGGGGGGGAAATAATCCAAACGACACATCTACAAATGATCTGAACTAGCCTAGAAAAAGCCCAGAAGCAATTTTCTCAATAGCTGGAACCAGGGCTATAAGATTGGACAGGTCACTCTGTGCTTTGAGGTTCAGTGGGAATTCCCTGCCCACTCCCACGTCTGACACTTTCTTTTCCAACCCTCAGGAGACCGACTTAGGATCATAGAAGATCAGGGTTGGAAAGGACCTTAGGAGGTATCTAGTCCAACCCCCTGCTCAAAGCAGGACAAACCCCAACTAAATCATCCCAGCCAGGGCTTTGTCAAGCCTGACTTTAAAAACCTCTAAAGAAGGAGCTTCCACCACCTCCCTAGGGAACCCATTCCAGTGCTTCACCATCCTCCTAGTGAAAGAGTGTTTCCTAAAATCCAACCCAGATCTTCCCCACTGTAACTTGAGACCATTGCTCCTTGTTCTGTCATCTCCCACCACTGAGAACAGCCAAGATTCATCCTCTTTGGAACCCCACTTCAGGTAGTTGAAGGCTGATATCCAATCCCCCCTCTCACTCTTCTCTTCTGCAGACTAAATAAGGCCAGTTCCCTCAGCCTCTCCTCATAGGTCATGTGCTCCAGCCCCCCATCGCCCCCCCAAACATTTTTGTTTCCTTCCCCTGGACTCTCCAATTTGTCCATATCCATTTCGTAGTGTGGGGCCCAAAACTGGACACAATACTGCAAGTGTGGCCTCACCAGTGCCGAATAGAGGGGAATAATCACTCCCTGAATCTGCTGGCAGTGCGCCTACTAATGCAGCCCAATATGCCATTGGCCTTCTTGGCAACAAGGGCACACTGCTGACTCATATCCAGCTTCTCCTCCACTGTAACCCCTAGGTCAGGGATCAGCAACCTTTCAGGAGTGGTGTGCCGAGTCTTCATTTATTCACTCTAATTTAAGGTTTCGCATGCCAGTCATACATTTTTAATTTTTTTAGAAGGTCTCTTTATATAAGTTTATAATATATAACTAAACTATTGGTGTATGTAAATTAATAAGGTTTTTAAAATGTTTAAGATGCTTCATTTAAAATTAAAATAAAATGCAGAGCCCCCCCGGACCAGTGGCAAGGACCCGGGCAGTGTGAGTGCCATTGAAAATCAGCTCTTTTGGCCCAGTCCTTCTTGAGAGTGGGAAGGGGCTTGGACACCAGCTTAAAGCCACATCTCCCCAGGGCAGCACAGCACAGTGTGAAATGGAGGGGTCACATTTCAGTTATTTTCACTGTGTGCAACTTAACCCTGAGGTTCTCAGCCCTGGGAATGAGACTGTGGAATTCCATAGCCCGTGGGAAAGATCATGCGTGTAAAATATCCCCCAGGGGTGTTACATCCCTGAGGGGCCATCTGTCTCTGGGTCCTGGGGATAGAATCAGGACCTTTCACTGCCAGGCCTCTGCTTACGACCAGGACCCGGTCAGCCGTGATCAAGTATAAACAGTGACTGACAGTGAGCCTTAGCCCACCTACTGCTGTTAATGGGCAAGGCGGTAAGGCCTAAATGTACAACAATGGCCAAATTTTGGGTACCTCCGTTTATATCTTTGAACAACAGGGCTGCAGGGACCTTCTTCCAACTGCATCTGGAGTCCGTTGGCACTGCAGGGGTCCAGCCCCTCAGAGAACCAGCCCCTACGCACTTCAAGGCAGTATCCCAGGTTTGGACACTACATTCATGAAGTCTGGACCCAGCCCGCCACTGTGCTCTGGCTCCCATGCTGGCTAGAGTGGGACAAAGGGGCTGTAGGGAAGGTGTAAAGACCTCCCCCACCCTGAGAAATTCCTCCAACAGAGGTGCCAATAGTGCCTCCCCCCAGCAGCTGCAGGCCCAAGGAGTGTTCCGGGGGTGGGGGGCATGGACAGGCTGGAGGAGGAGGGGGTGGAACAGGGGTAGAGGGGTGTGGCCGGGATGAAGAAGCACCTCAGTCTTATATCCTGGCAAAGACCCTAACACCATTAAAACGGGTGCAGCACTTTACTCAGCTGAACTGCAACATCTGTATTAACCATGTAGTTAAATGGCTGCAACATCGCACCCAGGGAACTAGCTGCATCTGTAGCAGCATCTCCACTCAACACAGCTTCATAGTCTTTGCAATCCCCCTTGCTTTCAGGTAGTTGAAGTGGGCTATCAAATGCCCATCCCTCGTCTCTTCTGCAGACTAAACATGCCCAATTCGCTCAGCCTCTCCTCGTAAGTCATGTGCCCCAGCCCCCTGATCATTTTCGTTGCCCTCCGCAGGACTCGATCCAATTTGTCCACAGCCTTTCTGAAGTGGTGGAGAGGAGGGGTGAAAACTGGATGCAGTACAGTCTACTGCAGCCATTGTTAGTCCCTGGGATTCAGGGCCTGGCCGTTCATTAACCACCAGTGCTCGTTGGGGATCTCATTGGTAAATGCGCTCAGCGACTTTTCTTGAAACTTGCCATAAGCTGAAGCAGTCTTGTCTCTTCATTGCATTTTGAAGCTAAGCAAAATAAATTCTCTTTGAAATACAAAGTTACAATCTGAACTCGGCCATAGTCTCTTAAACACACACACATTTCCCCCACTCCAACCATTGGCGTGAGGTTTTCTCTCAGAATTCCCTACACTACAGGGGTAAATTGACTAAAGTAACTTTTCAAGATAAGCCATCTTTTCCTGAACAACTAAGAAAACAAGGAAACTTTCTG